TCTGTTTTGAGACCTACGTAGGCTTGACAGTCCCGCTACTACATGAACTCACTATCTTCAGAAACCTCTGTGCGTGCAGAATGCACCCGACTGCGTCGTGGACTTCCTCACGTGAGACCTGAACCTTCCAGCTGGCCTCTGTTATGAACTACGTTCAGTTACATCATAGCAACGCATGGGTATTTCCCCAACGTCTTCTTGCAAGAGAGTGTACTGTCTGATGAAGACAGAGATACCTGCATCGAGGTCCTCTGTCGGTAGTGACCCGATCGATGTCCAACCCGACCTGCCCTCAGCCTATCTCACACGTCCTTGTCTTGTTCAGGGATTTCTCGCTATTCTATCAGCGTTCCAATGCACTGGGGGGTTTGTTGGAGGACATAGATGAGATATCCAGGATAAGGGACTCGAACGAGGCGCTTTCGGCCATTTCGAGACTCTGCGTCAAGTGAGCGCTGCTCGGTGTCATTGGCGGGTGAAACCAGGACGGTGCAGATATGTCAACTGTGACCGCGTAGCCATATGGGTGATTGATGAGAGGACCCAAACCGCGTGGACCAAACGTGAGCTGGTACCCCTCATCACACTCCTCAGTACTTACCGTCAGACACTGGTCATGCGCCTGATGAAGATGATGATCCTGCGTCGTCAAAGAGCCGAGCTGAGAGTCCACTTCTACAAGTGAGAGGCCTTCTTCCTATTAGATAGGCTGACTTCTCTACGAGATACCCCTCACTGCTGGCCTCGTCGGGGCAGCATACAAGGCCCAGACAGCCCTCAATATACCAGATGCGTAAGTCCATTCCTCAGCTTGCCTCTACTCCGAGGTAGATACACGGACTCTCGATTCAACTCGAGCGTTGATAAGGCTACTGGGTACCGCACAAAGAGCGTCCTTTGCATGCCTATCATGCGGGGTCCTGAATGTGTTGCCGTGAGTGGTGAAAGTGGAAGTAGACGTAATGGTATCGTCATCAGGTTCTACAGGTCGTTAATAAGATATCCCCAACGCATAGCCTCGTGACTGTAGCCGACACTCCAAGTATACCTGCCAGCTTGCCTTCTCATCTTCCTCTACCTATGTGAATTCTGCTCAGGCTCAAGAGACCAATGGGCCACGGTCAAGTTCGATGCGCACGACGAATTCCTCCTGCAGATTATCGGCGGAGTTACCGTACAGGTACGGCGACCAGCTTCTCATCGGGATTCGATACTATCGTCTTCCCTCTAGGCGCTAGAGCAGTGCTTGGCTGACGAGATGGGGCGGATGAAGCTCGTTCGCAAGGACATCCTGTTGGACGCTGCTTTCCAGGTCGAATACTATCTACTCTGGCGATTGAGTTGTCACTTCAGATTCTGAGCGACCAGAGCTGTAAAACACTGCGAGACCTGATGCAGCTGCTATCAGCATACATGACCAAGCTCTTTCATGCGGGGAGGTGATCGTACCATTCTTGCGCATGTGGTGTCTTTGTCACTTCGTGTTGTCAGATGCTCTTTAGCTATCTGCGAGATTGACGGAATACAAGTAGTCAACATGAAGAAGCCTCCTTCGGCCACCACACCAACGGATCCATCCTCCTACTGTGTGGGGACGTTGAGTATCGGTGAATCACTCTCATTGCGGATCGCTCAGACGCGAGTGAGATCGAAGGCTCAAGGGCTAGTCGGTGAGGCAATTGAAAGTCGAGGCTTGGTCATCACCTCCAATGCAGCGTCATCTCCAAAGTGAATTCGCCAATCATCTCTACTGCCCACTGATCGCGCCAGGTATGATATCGAAGTGGATGTGCAGGTGGATGGGAGCGCAGGTGAAATTGTCTATACTTGGCCGTCTATTCGCTTGAGGAGAGTCACTACGGTATGATGACTAACCACTTGCCCGAGTTGCTGAGCGCTATTCAGGTCTTACAGTGGACGTGCGCAGTAGGTAGCGGCGATCCTCTGAAAATGGGGGATAACACTTTGTCGGAAGGTGCGGGAACTTTCCAGGTAGCAGAAGTTGAGACGCGGCCTACTCGGATGAGTATCTTGGCAGAGTGACAACCCCGACCATATGGAAGTGATAGAGAAGCTTTTAGAGATGATTGAAAAACGAGTAGAAGAGTGGTGGCCAGCGTCGGAGCGGATGAAACCGAGGGCTGTAAACCTACAAGTGATTAGATTTAGTGCCATCATGAAGAAGGCCATAGCTAAGGACAAGAGAAAATGAGTCATGAACATCCATGCTGATATGAAGTAGCCCCTCTTTGCTTTATGCTTCACTTGATACTGTGTTCATCCACTGAGGGTCCTTCAAGGGAAAATGAACTCCGAGCCCCGCCATAGAGCAGTTCATATTGGAGATCCGTTCTCACCGAGAACTTCTCGGTGCTAAGTCTTGATTCTTTGGGAAATATGGGCGAATTGTCTATGGCGCGAAGTCCGGGAGGAATGCAAAGCTCAAAAGGTGTCGAGATCGGAGTTCCCTCTATCAGTGAGTTTCAGGCCCATGACTGAACTCTTAGCCATTATGGTATTGGAAAAGAACTAACCCGCGTTGGGGGGACTGAAAGTCACCGTAATCGAAGCATAGATTCGGAATCTATGTCAGGTCGATGGACACTGAGCTGACTGATGAGACTGGCCATTGCTCGGCCCGAGCAAAGCACACGTGCTTACAAAAGCACGCAAACACACCAAGTGTGAAAAATTCAGAAATCTGCCAAACTGGGACTGCAAAATCAGATAATATCACTTCGATCTCATGAAAACACGCAGGTTGTATCATCCATATCCATCTGAGAGAAATGCTTCCCCCGAAACACACGACGCCCCAGTCGATGATGGTTTTCTGTCTCGAGAACGGACGAAACAACAGAGTAGCAGCAACATGAGCTGAAAAGCTAGAGAATTGAGCTTGCCAGGACAGACAGGGTGCAGGGATGCCGGTGCTAGACGAACTCCTCTGAAGAGAAGCGGCCGCTCATGGCGCACAGCGTCCGTGCCACCAACTATTCATTGCTTTCTAAGTAGCAGTTGCCCGTGATCGAACCACGTTACTATCGCCGTGTACGAGATAACGTAGAACCCTTGAAGACTGCCTCTCGGCACCGAAAACCTGGGACAACTTCCAGCAACAGCGGCAATGAACTTGTCATATATGTCCATGCTCTCAGGTGCCACGAAATAAGAGCGCCAGTTCATGAAGCCCGGAGAGACACTGTCTAAAATGAGAGTCATTTCTGACATCGTGCTTACAAGAGGCATCTCTCCACAGGAGACATTCATGGACACCTTGGAGTCAGAAGTTATCTGGAAGGCAATCTCTACCTGACCGTCGTTCGTGTATATGAATCTGCCAGGGACCAAATCATATGTAACTCTTCGAAAACGAACATTTTGACCTTGAAATTGGACGGTCAGAGACTCAAAATCCTCAGAGGTCAGAGTGACAAGGTCACCGGCTCTCAAGCGGCCGCAGGTGAGAGCTTTTCCACCTCGCTGTACCAATGACATAACTCTGATGGACTGACGTCGATGATGTATGAAGTACCCACAGTCTCTCTTAAGGGGTGTGTCCTTTCGGGAACGAAGAAACCATCCCTCGATACCGGCTCAAATATGAACCCAACATTGAGCCATATGCTCACATCGACGACGATGTGTAAGCCTGCCGAGGTGTGCATGAACCTCCCAGCCTTTTCAGCTCTTGAGCCTAACATCAGTATCGATATACACATGAGACCAGGGTGGCAGAACTTCATCATCGAGAGAGACGGATTGATTATATAAATAAAACTGCAGTAGACACGAAAGGCGGGCACTGCCCGCCGGGCAGGATGCTGAAATCTCAGCGCGTAGTGAACACAGATCTACGTCAACCGAACAAACCCTCACGACTTGATGTAACCGCTTGTACCTTCTTGCACCTCAAGAATTACAGAGAACAACCGGGCAAGGTCCGAGGATTATAATAGCCTTCAGGAAAGATAGATAAACTGATTGAGATAACGTCAACGGTTGCGACGCTCGGCATTGGGACGGCCCTCGTCATGCTAGCGACACAGTTGCGTTATGCTAGCATAACAGCTGCGGCGCGTAGCTAAGTCACCGCGTCACTGGGCCAAGTCATGAGTTAGAGGCGGAAAAAAGGCTCAGGGAGTCATACTATTGGCGTGACTTGCAAACGGAGACAGAATGGAGACACCGGAGACAAGAATCAGCTAGTGTCACGCTAGTTCATCGGTGTAGGGTTGGGACGGCCATCAAGCTATGTGTGAGGTCATGAACTTCGATGTACCACTGTTGCCCAGCCGGCTTACAGCTCTGGTCGACCTATTCAACGCTATGACGGACCTTGATGATGTCCCGAGGTTAATTATCGCCACCCAGTTGACCGTCAAATTTCGACGATGAAACGACGGCAAGCTGGGGTGGAACTTCATCTTCTCACTTTAGGAACTTCATTCGCGGGATTATCACCCAGTCAGAGTGCTCGGACCAGCTCTGTATACCATCCAGGTTGCATGTATCGAGGGCTTCTTGCGATCGAATTTTTGTCACAGAAAATTGCGTGCTCAGTATACTATCCACAAACTACCTCGGACGAAGCTCACGGGCCGTCAGCCACGATCCCTCGAGTTCTCATGCATCTCCCGACAACACCCGCACTGTATAACGCAGGCAGGGTTCAACTGACTGCTATTAACTCCTCTGCTCCCATCCCCTCGTACGATGCTGGCCACCCACGATAGGAGAACGCACACACAGCAGAAATAATGGTTGTACAGGAAGGCCGCGGGTTAATTGTCGCAGGGGGTCGTTGAAATGCAGGTGTCGAGCCTCATTCGTGGCAAAGATCAGTCTAGGCTGATGCGCTTGTCCTGCTCAGTACTCAGCGCGCAGGGAGACTTGGACCTCACAAATTTCCTATCCGTTGCTAGGGAACTCAGCAGAAAGTTTCGGCCATGTCTTATGACTTAGGGCTCACCGAAGTGGTATGTTAATCATTCGTGAATGCCCGATTAGTTCAGCTGGATAGAACGTCTACCTACGGATTAGATGATCGTAAGTTCGAACTCTGCATCGGTTATGCTTTCACCGCGTGCTGGCGTACTTGTGACCTCCTCTGCAATGACGACCCCTGGGAGATTCGAATCGCCCCGGGTACAGAGCTGTTAGAGAGTCTCTAACAGAGACCGACTGATCCAGAACAGAACACGCGACGTTGTTCCATCTGGGATCCAGACTTAGATCTGATGATGTGTGGATCTGCCCGGACGAGGCTGACTCGATTCAGGACAAAGAACCAGTTGTTCCTTTTTATCTGGGCCACTGAGCTCGAGAGATCATTCACCTGGTGAATACACCAGGAGCTTGCGAAATTCACCATCACGAGACTGGATTCAGCGGCTCACCATTCGGCCAGGCATGGCCGCACATTCTCTTAGTAAACGGGGAGCGGACCGGACATCGACAACACAACAGGAATGGAGCCTTATTGGAAAAGTGAACCATCATTTGAAACTTGCGCCTATGAAAGATGCGTTTCGGCTCGCAAAATACTGTAGAAGTCGCTCTAGAGAATTGGAGTGAAACTGTGCCGCAGCAATGAATTTTCACTGTTGAAGTTTCACCGCGAAGATCGATGTATGGGCTCTGTTATGGCAACTAGTGCCGATGATCACTTCGTGCGGGCTTTTAAAGCTTCTGCCAGTTCAACCCCATAAAGACAGGCATCATTGACTTCGAGAAGATTGATATATTCCAGCTGCGGAATAATACCAATGAGCTTCTTGTTGACGCCGCTGAGCTTCGTATCATTCAGGATATTCGACCCGGCCTTGAGCATCTCCTCTACTGACGTCGAATCATATTGCCAATGCGCTTGGATCGTAGTCAGATTAGTCTTGGGCTTCCTGGAGGCAGTTTCATTGATGTAAAGGAACAACTCTTTGTTGATGTATCCACTGCCTGGTGACCCCTCACGACAGTCTCCATTCTCGCGGTAGCATGTAAGGGAGGAGTTCCAGTTGGCATCTAGACAGACACCCTCACCTTCCACGACGAAGACATGTCCACCTGACAAATGAGAGAAGAAGGATGTAACTCGAGCGAGGTTCGTTACCTGCATTTAGTGCAGACATCTTCATAGCCTGATTGATGGTGAGGCCCTTCAGCCTATCACATGACCCATCCGATCCAATAGATGGCATGAGATTCAAAGTAGCCATAGTCTGCCACACTTTGCCCTTACAGTCGTCGGTGTTGGGAGAGTAGTGACTGTTAACCAGCAAGATGAACTCCCCCGGATGTGAGTTAGCCCAAGTAACGACTTCCGTAAGTGCATCTTTAAGGCTGTGGTCAACGGTTAGAATCCCATGATGCATATACATACCCTTCGCGTTGCACAAGGGGCGAATGTCGAATGCTCTGACACCGCAATTCAGTTGTGCTGTGAAATTGCCTTCTTGCGATTTGGCTATCTCCCAGAATGCATCAGTAGTCAATATGTACCCAGTTCCAGAGTCGTGTGACCTGACACCAGTTATGCTGGCCCCAATCGGGCCCATTCACTCACATGAGCATCGGCCATTCATTGAGGAGGGCGTCCCCCTCACCACGAATCGCGCCTGAAGACGCACCAGACTGCAGGATGATCCAGGTAAGCACAATGATCATTGAGCAGAAGCTAGAGGGATGACTGATATGTTACAACCACTCGGTTCACTGGACAGGTGGTATACTCGTCCCCACTGGGGAACTCGGCAGCACAGAAATAGCTCTTTGTGGGGTGTCTAACGCCGCACGAGCCGACGAGGGATCTCGCACACCTCACCTAGAGGCTCGTGTTGGCTTATGGTCAGCTACTGCGGCAGTCAGGCCTTCAACAGAACCGGAACCAGATACGTTTCCACTTAGCCTTCTTTCGCAGCTCGTCAAATTGGGGCTCTATTCTGTTCAAATGCCACCACTACCAGAGGAGCAATAAGCTCACTTAGCCAAGCGCCCGGCCGAAGCCGATGACTGTCCGAGACACGGCGCCAAACCGCAAAGCGTTCGCAGGGTGTTGAGAAAGGATGAAAATTGGTGAGAGCTTCTCCAACAGGGGCCCATCAGGCCGGTTTCGCCAGTAGTACAGCCCAGGACAGAAAGGAGAAAGAAGCAATCCTGATATCGAATCACTATCTCAATTTGCGGCGGGTTTTGGGCCGCACAAAGAATTTGTGCGGGGCTCTTGCCACCCATGTTTGTGCGCCGCTCGTGAGCTGATGGATGGCCGAGAGGGCGAAGACCCCGAAACAGTGAAGCTGGCTGATCATCTAGTGCTCTCTGGATGCGTTGGCTTGCTCATCAGACGGGCTCGAAGGTGCTAGAGCCCAACCTCACAGCCCACCCTTGGAATGACTCTTCCAACGCAACGAAAATCGTCGTGCAATTGGAATCACACGAATGACATGCCCAGTAGCAAACGTCGTCTAAGTGGTTAACCTCCTTCGGCTGCGGTGGCCTCCTGAAACAGTCAGACTCGAACTCCGATAGATTGAAGACCACGATGAACCCTACACCGCCTGTAGCTCCTCCATGTGCAGCTGATGGTACAGGTGGTCCGTCTGAGAAGGACATGCACAGAGTGCTCCTACATCCTGCCCAGCGCCTACCAGAGGGGGGCGGCTGAGCTCCCATCGATTTGAAAAGTAGTATTGTGTTACCGGAGTTGATGTCATCAAAAAGGACCTGTGTCGGTCCACTGCTGTCGAGATGTTGGCATCATTCCTTCCCTTACCGCATGGTTCCTCTCGTGTGCTATCGAACCCCCGAAGGATGTGCCCACCACACAATGCCATGGTCCCTGATAGCGAACACTCATCGTAGAAGTGGCGAGGCACGGACCTTGCCGGGTATTCGGTTGAACTCTGGATCTTGATCCATTATCGTCTTGATGTTCTCAGCAACATCCTTAGACAACGCGTGTTTGCCTAGGGCCTCCGACACCACTGAGGATGAGTACACTCAGGACTGACTATACCCCTACCGCACGCTTACGAATTCGTATCTTGTTCGTCTGTTCGTCATCAAAGTCGCATTGCTTAATCCTTATCCTGACAAGGACACCCTCAACGCAGAGCGGCAGCGGGATTAAAGGCCTACGGAGGCAAGCTTTCGAGCTGCTTCCTGAGAGCGTCCTCTTCCTCGTCGATATCGGACATGTTTCACTAGACGGGCAGCAGCTGCAATGCCCAGATCACCAATTTTGCCCGGAATTCTCATATCATTGCGTCTGCTGACACTATCCCGGCTTGATTTATCCAAACTAGTCTTATTGATTCTTTTCGGTCGTATTGTTGCTAATGATTAGTCTACCCGACCCTTTTGTGGCATCGCACAGCTCACTTCCAATTAACAAAGCAACACCAAGAGGGACGCCGACAGCAGGAGAGCAACACAACAATGTCATGATCGTTGCTGCCATTATTGAAGGGAAGCAAGGAACTCGAGATCCTCACTATCAGCCACGGTACCTGAGGAGAGTGCAGTGGGAGTCACATGGTCAATATAGCATACTTATAAGGTCATCATTATCGATCATTTCCTGCCTCACACGGCGCAATCTGTTGGCCTCAGTTCTGACGACCACTAGAGAGTCTTCCAGCATCGAGAGGACGTCACGGACTGACACACGAAGAGTGACTACAGTCAGGAGCTCACGGCAGTACCGTCATGCATCTTGTCCTTTAGGAGAGCCCTGAGCTCGTTGGAACGTTCGACCGACCTGCTATCCTGAAAGCGGGATCAGATTTCACTTGGTGAGCGCCCATTATGAACAGTCCATTCGAGTGTCCCACCCTGGGCTCGATCTGCAACCGCTCCTCCCGGGTGAGGGGCCGGCATCTAGAGTGATCACCACGCTTCAGTCTATGACCGCAATAGATGCATCTCTCGGATCGCTCTCTTCGGACTCTAGGCTGGGGTGAGCTGCCCTCAAGAGCAGTGTTCTCCTGAATGGAAGCGGTCTCCTCAATAGGGGCCGCCTGTTGCTGAGTCGGCGCTGCCTTGGCCTCCACGTCCTTGGCCGGACAGAAAAAGGCCCGGAACATCTGCGAGAAGCGGTAATTTCCTCACTGGGGTTATCATTACTACCGAGGCGAAGTACTCCGTCAGGCTGATGATTAAGCTTTTGAAAGCATTGATGGAGGCATGCATAACGAAAAGTGAGGATGGCTGACACGCCAGTCCAAAGTTCCGCCACGAATTGACGAAGCCCAACATCCTCATCGCCATAGAGAGTGCACTTGTCAACTTAGAAACATATTACGTCCCTCCGGTGGAGGCCCCAATGGTGAACTTAAGAGCTCGTCTGCAGGACCACCAGTCAAGGGCTTGTCCGGTACTACTCCAAAGTGTGAGTCCTTCCACAGCCTCTCGTATTCATCATCTGCCCCCGCATCCTTCTTACCATGCTCCACAGCAGCAGCAGGTGGTGGTGTGGTGGTGATCTGGTCATCAGCCTTCTGCTTGGCCTGCTGCAGTTGCGCCTCGAGCCGAGCTATTCGGCCCAGTAGATCCTGCTTCTGACGTGCTGCCTCGAATGCTCTATCTCGCCATTTCTCAACTTCTAGCTGCAGTGAGGCCAACTCCTTCGAGTACTTCTCACGATTGGTCATGTCCGACCATTCCGATTCGTAATTTCTGCCCTTCGCGGGACTACCCTCTTCTTTAGCGAACCGTGCGTCATCACGAGCTCCAGCAACCTCCGCGTCGCCTTTGCCGTCTTTGTGCTTCTCACAGTGTTTCCGAATCACTTCGATGAGCTGCCTTGTAGCTTCCTGTGTTGGTGCTCTCCCAGCGAAGTAGTAGAAACTATCACTACTGCACAAGCCAGTATCACTTCGGAGCATCGTATCAAAAGCTTCGACCCGACCCTCCCCACAGGCCACCTCGAGCAAAGATACTCCACTCGGATCCTCTACGACAGGATCCACCCCCATGGACAGCAGGCTTGACACTATGTCCAGGTAACCCTTTTCGCCACCTTGTAAGGCGTAATGCATACATAGCTGTTGATCGCCACTACTGAGGACTCTCCCATACCGCT